AGTCAGGGGTGATGACAAGTATGGGCCCCCTGTCAAAACACAGTAGAATGTAAAAGAAGATCTCACACTCTTTTTTTTAAAAAAAAAAAGCCTATAAAAAAATAATTATTTTATTTGGGGAATTGACATACAGTAAAAACCAGAAAGGATTTTCACCAGAAAACAGAGGATCTGGTACAAATGCCAAAGCAGCACATTAAATAGTCACACTGGATCCATTGGGTTTCATTAGGTCATCATGAGGCCATGAACAAGTGAGAGACCCCCTTTTTGACAGATGTCATCAGAACAGGTTTATCCTAAACATGTTCCCATGACAGCATTTTTTTGGCTTCTGCTTTCCGTAACTGAGACAATAGATACCAGGACCAATATTGAGGGAATACTGGGGGAACAGAGGTTCTAACCTCCCGCATTCTAAAATAATAGAAAAGGTTTTGGCTTTACATACACTTTGACTATTGATTTTTAACTAACATATATTGTGTCATTGACATACAAAATGTGTTCTTTCTTTCAGAATTGACAGACAATGATGACTACAATGCTATTTATGATCAGATATTAATTATTGGAACTATCTCTGGAATTGTGATTGGTGCTGTGTTATTGCTCCTTCTTGTGGGTGTGCTAGCTTACCTTTTTGCCAGACATAGACGACGCAAAACGTAAGTGAATTACACAGGATAGAGTCACAATGGGGCTGATTTACTAAAACTGGAAGGTGCAAAATCTGGTACAGCTGTACATGGTAGCCAATCAGCTTCTAACTACAATCATAAAGTGAAGTGAAAAAAATGCTGTGCTACATAAACCAATGGCACAAACCATTATATTGCCAAAAAACAAACTGAAAAATAAAATAAATAATTATTAGAAGAAAAAAAAAATGTAATATATATATATATATATATATATTTTGAGAGCGGAACAGTGACTTAGTGGTGGTTAGCACTTCTTCATTGCAGTAATTGGGTCATGGGTTCAATTTCCAACCATGGCGTCTCCTGCATGGAGTCTCCTGCATGGAGTTTGCATGTTCTCCCTGTGTTCATGTGGGTTTCCTCCGGGTACTCTGGTTTCCTCCCACACTCCAAAGACATGCTGGTAGGTTAATTGGATCCTGTCTAAATTGTCCTCCTGCATGGTAGGGGTTGGGGGAAGACCTGGCAACCTACCCTGTAAAATAATTGTTAAGAGAATTCATGGAAAAAGTCGCTTATGAGTGACGGTCCATGCAACCGCCAAGGGTCGGATACGACTGAATATATATATATATATATACATACATACATACATATATATATATATATATATATATATATACACACATACATACACACACATACATATACACACACATGTGTGTATGTATGTTTATATATATATATCTATCTATCCATTCAGTTGTATCCGACCCTTGGCAATTGCATGGACCATCACTCGCAAGCGACTTTTTCCATGAATTCTCCTAGCAATACTATATATATATATATATATATAATAATAAACATACATACACGCATATATATATATATATATATATATAATAAAATAAAATATAAAAATTAATATTTTGAATCAAGTAAAAAAGTCAATCAAGTTCAATCAATAAAGTGTTCATTCAGTGAACCCTCCTTTGGATAACGAAAAAATATGTGCATCTGTCATCAATTCCCGTGCAAAGACGTCCTCCATCATATATCTGCTCACCTCTTGCAGCGTGACCTCACATTATACAATGTTACGGTTTAACTGCACTTTTGGTCCCATATGGACTCAGAAGATCAGCTTGCTGAATAAGGACTCCAAAGTAAGCTCCCTCCTGATGAGCGTCTTTGTATCAGCCATATTCCTCATTAAAAAGAACTCGACATAGTGCTTTATCCTTTTAAACTTTTATTCATCAATTAAAACATGAAAAACACTCATGTTCCGGAGGTGTATTTTGCACCAGGTATGATGAAGATCCAGTGATGTACTGATTACACACTAGATGGCAGTATCATCTCAGCAGCAGAGTCCTGTACAAGCTCAAAACAGACACCATCCGTAATGTAATGCAAGGCAGAGCACGGCCACTCAAATGAATGCTATTGTCTGCTGTAATGCCATTTCAAGAGCTGTTTGTAGAGTACTACAGGCCACTATCCCGATGAATGGCAACGTCGTGACGTCATCTGCACACTTCTAGCTACAGCTTGTTAAATGAAGCTTTGACAAAAAAAATGGAAGCCGTTTGGTTTCTGTGTAGAGCTGCACCAGGTTTTGCACCATGGATTGTAGTAAATCAACCCCAGTGTCAGTAAGAATCTACATCTTTCCAGTTCTAGATATAAAGCTTTGGGTGTATATGGATTGTATATGAAGACTTCTTGAAACATTTAATGGTTAAGAGCACCAAATACAGCCAACGCGTTTCAAGAAGAAGTAGGCCTCCCCTTTCTTCAGGGTTCAAGCAGTCACTCTTAATACATTTATAACAGCACTAGGTGACCTTTGTCAAGTCCCTTGTGGTTCTTAATGGAGCAGAATTTTATCACTATTTTATCTTCTCTTCTGTTCTCCAGGCTCTTCTCCCCTCTTAGGCAAATTAAAAAAAAAAAAAAGTTTGGTTGTATAATCCTTTTTCATTGGAGCACAGGCAGCATGTCTAGGCCAGTGATGTCTTGTCTCTGCCCAAAGCCTTTTTAGGCTGGTGTCCAAATCACAGATCCATCAGATGTGCAGTGTCATCAGACGATCGGCTGCCTTGACCAGTAAGAGACAGCTGGCCTCCTGATGACATCATAAAGAAGATGGTGGTGCTGGACCGGGCAGTGCTGTGGCTTTCGCTGGATGACAGCAGGGCAGAACTGGATTAATTGGGCTGATGAGTATATTATTTCAGCTCACACCAAAAGACCAGGTAAAACGGGGTATATATTTAAATGAGCCCCTGAAGGGAGTGGGGTGATCTTCCTTTTTAAGAAACAAGTACTGTAGAGTCTGTGAGCTGAGTCAGTCCTGAGCACAACGTCTTGTATGTTTTGGCTACTACTACAGTGAGATATACCCATGCTATAAAACCCAATGGGGTAGGGAAGAAGAAGGCCCTGGTGTTAACCTTCTGATGAGTCTTGAGTCCATGACCATTACTTATTATGCAATATTGTTATAGGTTTGTACTGTTTTTTTTTTTTTTTTTTAAAAAAAGTCAGTAGAGATGTTCCCAGAGCAAGGATTAGGTGCTGAGTGTGCTTGTAGGCAGGTTCTACAGTATTGTACTGCTTGTGATAATTCTTGGTTACTGTGTGGGGTTAATTGTGAGTGGTGGTACATCAGCCTAAGGGTAAGTCACTTAACCTTAGGGGCGAGGAAGTTGTTCCATGGAGTTCTTTCCATAGGAAGTGGGAGGAAGGCCATACATGCAACCATGTAGTCGCAACTAAGCAGAGAGTGTCCACCCAAACGTATGGGACCTGAGTATAGGTGAGGAAACAATCGTTAGTCATTTATTTCAGAAGTGTTCAAGCTACAGATATGCCACCATTGCCACAGCCAAAGCTGCAGTTTATGTTCTGTAAGTGTGAGTTTAACACCGTTACTAAGAGGAAGCAATGCAGCAGTTGATGAATTTACAACGTTGTATCTTGATTCTGTATTATTGAATTGTATGGAATCTGTCATGTAATTGTCAAGAACTGAATACAGTAAACGAGTTCCATTACTCAACAAAAGCTGTTCTGGTACAAGGGATCACGTTTGTGCTGGTACAGGGTATGCTAACGGTGAATGAAGTAAAAAACTATGGTGGCAATGAAGTGAATTTAAGAGGAGTAATATCTGCATAAAGAATAAGAAGCAGACAGTTCAGGTACGGAGCGATGGTGGCTGAGTGGTGGGTTGATGACCGTTTGATCCGCTCTTCCAACAGTTGGGTCCCTATCTTAGGGCTGCTGTGGAACAGAGCTTCCCAGATACAGGGCCTGGAACATGAGTATACAAGGCCTTCTGAAATGTTCAGGGGCTTCCCTCTATGCCTTCAGTAACGTGTATTGTGCATAACAACTGGTGGAGGATAATGAGTGTTCTGCACTGTTTCACCCAAAATGACTGTCGTCAAGGTTGGGACAGGCGTTGCTGGTGAGAGTGAAGACAGGTTCCTTCTAGTGTGAGGCCTGGTAAGGAAGTCTGTGCAGTGGCCACAAGCAGGACCTTGGATAAAGGGGTACAGTTGCAAGAAAAAAGTATGTGAACCCCTTGGGATTACATTGAGTTTTGCATGAATTGGGCATAAAATGTGCTCTGAACGTCATCTAAGTCACAACAATAGAAGAACACAGTCTGTATCACCAGTCCTCTTGTACGGGGCCCAGGCCAACAGGGGGGCCCAGGCAACTGGGTGAATCAGATGTGGGCAGGGAAGGTGATCGGCAAGGCAGAGGGCAATGACTGGAACCAATCCTCTGTATGGCTTCTCTCCACAGCAGCTGAAAGCTGGCTTCTTCTTCTCTCCCTCCCGCTGGCTTTCAGCTGCTGCAGAGAGAGCCATGCAGGGGATCGGTTCCAGTAATTGCCTGCACCGCTTCACCCATCACTCTCCCTGTGCAACATTTGTTTCCTCCTGCTGCCCAAGTGCCCCTGTCTGCTCCCACCCCCTGCAGCACTGCTGGCTTTCCTCGTCTCCTTCCCACCGGCAGCTGCAAGCACACAATAGGATCCTTCAAGATGGAGATTGGGGAAAGGGTCCAGTAAATATGTCACATTTACCAGCTCCTTCCTTTCCTGAATGAACTCAATGAATGATCGGTACTGATAATTCACAGTTGTCATTCATACCTGAAGCATAGTAAACTGTGCTTTTTTTTTGGGGGGGGGGCCTGTCAAGTTGGCTGTATGGGGCCCCCGTGGTTTCTAACAGCAGCCCTGGCCACAAGGGTGTGTGAACTCACAGATTATTTAAGCAGTCATAAAGCTTTGTTGGACAGCATGAAGTTCACCCATGCTGCCAATACTGATTTGTCTGATAATAATGCAATCAACTTGGTTTTGCTGCCAAACCATAAATGAGAAGCTGCAATGCTAAGCTGATTAGTTATATGCAGGGGCGGACTGACAATGCATGGGGCCCCCGGGCAATAGGGGATCATGGGGCCCCTGTGTCCTTGCCCAAACTCAAAAAAGCCTATGAAAAGGGTACAGGGGCATCTCATGGGGCTCCCTACTGACCCTGAGCCCTTGGGCACTGCCAGAGTTTCCAAATGGTCAGTCCGCCCCTGGTTATATGTCATCCTACATCTTATCCATCGTTAGAGGAGTTTCACACAATGATCGTTCATCCACTGATGTGGTGAGACTGCCGTCCTGTAACTGTACCATCACTATCAAATGTTCATCCTTATCATCTTTGTAAAATGTGTCTCTGTATGCTACAAATGTAATTCACCATATCAGAAAACTCACAGCCTCTTTTCTTTTCAGGCAACCAAACAGTGCAAAAAATGGTAAGTTCCTACTGACCTAAAATAATATCTGTGTTCAGACCAGGGAAAGGGAAGTCAATGAAACAACTGGTACATAGATAAACTTACTTTTGCAATCCTGTGACCCAGAAACAACTGAAGGCGGGCTGTCAGCTGACGTCACAGGCTCTGGAAGGATCCCAAGCATATTGTCAGGATCCACCCAGATGCCAGACTGGCAAATGATTAAGCCTCTTAGTGCACCACTGAGAGTCTGAGCCAGCCGATTCCACCCCCTCCCCAGCCTCCCCCGCCAGTTGCAGTAAGCTCTGGAGGAGGCAGAGTGGAGATCGGTGACTGACAGTCACTGCTCCCTACTCTGAGCAGACCAAGAACTGAGCAATCAGCGGTCATGTGATCAATCAGTTTTAGGGCTTAGAGCTGCAGCAATACACCAATGCTGCAGCAAGGAGGTGAGTAGGGATTTTTTTTTTTTTAAGATTATTTGTTTCAGGTCCTTATATAGCGCCATCAACTTACGCAGCACTTCACATATATATTGTACATTCACATCAGTCCCTAACCCTCAAGGGGTGTTCAATCTAAGGTCCCTAACTTACATTCATACATACACATACTAGGGACAATGTACACAGGAGCCAATTAACCTACCAGCATGTCTTTGGAGTGTGGGAGGAAACCGGAGTAACCAAAAGAAAACCCATGCAGGCACAGGGAGAACATGCAAACTACAGGCAGGAGGTGCCGTGGTTGGGATTCCTATACATTTCCTTTAATCATAATGCTTGTTTATTTTACGTTTTTTAAACTAATTTTAAATTGTTCTTTTCCAGAAGGTCAAGTATATGAAAATATAAGTGCTTCTCAATCACATATTTCTGAAACAGAACTGCCAGGCATTCCGGTAATAACTCTGTACTTACTGTTTATGTATTGGCATATTAGAAATAATATATTATTATTATGTATTAATGATGCATTAATGGACAATCATATTGTATACATTAGAAATCTATTGTCTATTTGGATAAGTGGGCATTTCTGTGAAATGTGATTGTTTGTATTTTAAAATAATTAATAGACCCCAGATATCTCAATAAAGAGTACCTGTCACTGCCCAAACTATCACAAATAATGTTGTTCAACCCTTGTGATAGCAATAAAAGTGATTTAAAAAAAATTTAAAAAAAAAAAAAAAGTGTAAAAAAAGTTTGAATAAAATAAATAATAAAATAAAAAAAATGTAAACCCCCTCCCCAAAGATGAGTTCATATGTAGGTCCTGCACATGGTGTGTGTAAATGGTGTTTGCACCACACATGTGACAAAATCACTGCAAACATTATGAGAGCCAGGAGCGGACTGACAACTCGTGGGGCCCCCGGGCAATAGGGGATCATGGGGCCCCTGTGTTCTTGCCCAAACTCAAAAAAGCCTATGAAAAAGGTACCAGGGGCATCTCATGGGGCCCCCTACTGACCCCGGGCCCTCGGGCAGTGCCCGAGTTTCCAAATGGTCAGTCCGCCCCTGGTGAGAGCAATAAATTCTAGCACCAGACCTCCTGTGTAACTCTAAACTGGTAGCCTGTAAAGGTTTCCAAAGCATCAGCTACCGAGATTTTTAATTACCGTAGTTTGTCACCATTCTACATGCGTACGCAGTTTTAAAGCGTGACATGTTGGGTATCTATTTACTCATCATATCTTATATTTTACCAATCTATTGGGTATTATAATGTGTTATAATACCCATTAGTTTATATTATAATGTGTTTTTGTGCATTAAAATTCATTAAAGTGTAGTTTTTCTGGAAAAATTGAGTTTGAAAAACTGCTGCTAAAATACCGCGTGACATAAAAAGTAAAAGTGAAAAGTAAAAAAAGTTATTCTCTAGGGCCTCTGCTTAAAAAAAAAAAAAAATTATATATATATATATATATATATATATATAAAATGCTTGAGCGTTCTAGGCTATTTTCTTGCAAGAACACAGAAAAAGAACAACTTTCTTATTCTCAAGAACATTGGATTGCTAAAAACTGCAGAAAAAAAGTCACCTGCTTCAATTTGTGATAGATACACTGCAGAATGTGAGTTTTCAGTGAGGATATGAGGTGTTCATCTCTGCGCAGTGAAATCAGAATTCTACAAACCTTTGCTATATATTAATCATAACAGTAGGGGGCAGCCTATGTACATTTTCATCCAGTCTAAATTCTGCCAGATGCAGCTGTATTGATATATGACAGTTAAAAGTCATCATTGATTAAAAGAGTAGCTATTGGGATTTAGGCTCGGTTCACATTGCAGCGACTTGGGATCCGACTTGTGAAAACACCCAAGTCACATGACATGTGAAATCCCATGTTAGTCAATAAGAGCGGTCTTAGTTAGCACTACTGAAGTCGCTCCGACTGTAGAAAAGGTTCCTGTACTACTTCAAGGCGACTTCTATCCAACTTGTGCCCATAGACTTTAACAGGTGTCGCCTCCAAGTCAGATCTCATCATCTATATTGAGGTGATTTGGATCCGACATTACAGGAAGATTACCCAGGCGTTCCCTGAAAGTCACTTCAAAGTCGCATCAAAGTAGTACTCAAGTCACCAAGCATGGTTGCACTGTAAGTCATGCGACTTTCAGGTTGCAGTAGTGTGAACAGAAACATACAATGTACTGTAATTTAAAAAAAAAAAATATATATATATATATATATATATATATATATATATATATATATATAAAAATTGAAGCTTTTTTTAATCTGTATTGGTGATATAAGAAGTCCTCACATCCCTGAATAATTTTTTAAATAAATTGTCTATAAACCCGGGTTCACACTGATGCGGTGCGGAATTTGCAGCGTTTTCAGTGCGAATTCCGCACCGCATCAAAATTGCACCCCGTTCATGCGAACCGCTGCGGGTGTGTATGTTAAGTTAACAACATCCCAAAATCGGTCCACAAAACACGGTGCGATGTGCAGAATCAGATCACATAGGTGTGAATACCCATGCGATCCGATTCTAGTACGGACCCAAAAAAGGGTCCTGCACAGTTTTGGTGGGGTTGCGATGCGAATAAAGCCATACAAAATGTATGGCTCCAATCGCACACAAATCGCATGTGATTTGCACAGGAATGTGATTTGTATAGGATTATGTGTTGGAGACTCCAAAAGTGTGATGTCCCCACCATAATTCCTGACTCTGTTCCTGCTCACTTGGGAAGATTCCACTCACTTCTGTGTGTTCTATTTCCTGGTTCATCCACCATAAGCCCGGGTTCACATATATGCGGTGCGGTAGATCCCATGTGATTCGCACAGGAACCGCACTGCATATATGTGAACCTGGGTTTATGGTGGATGAACCAGGAGGAGATAGAAAACACAAAAGTGAGTGGAATCTTCCCAAGTGAGCAGGAACCGAGTCAAGAATTATGGTGGGGTCATCACACTTTTGGAGTCTCCAACACATATTTTATACCTTTTGGTGGACTAAAGCCGGCCATACACGGGTCGAATTCCAAAAGAATTTTCGTTCAAAAATCTTTTCTAAGAATTTTCGTTTGAATTTCGAACCATTAGTGGGGCCACAGAAACGGCCGATTTTCATGCGACCATCGAATTTGAATGATTGAGCATGTCGGAAATTTTTTTGAAAAACAAATGAATTTCTAATCAATGATGGGAGAATCGTGCAATAAATATAATCGAAAAAGAAGCAAACGTGAGCTGTGACCTGGAAAGAGAAGAAAATTCTTGGCCACGAAAATTCTTTTCTGTAGCAACATGTGAAATTGAAGACTTCTTTTGGTCGAATTTTGAAATCAACAGTGGCACCATCGATTTACAAAACATACGAAATTTCTGATTTTGTAAAGAAAATGAGTTCAGAATTCGACCCGTGTATGGCCTGCATAATAATTTAAGAGGAAATAGAATTTGTTATAAAGCACCGACTATACATAATTCTAATATAATAATCAGGGGCGGACTGACCATTTGGAAACTCGGGCACTGCCCGAGGGCCCGGGGTCAGTAGGGGGCCCCATGAGATGCCCTTGGTACCTTTTTCATAGGCTTTTTTGAGTTTGGGCAGGGACACAGGGGTCCCATAATGCACTATTGCCTGGGGGCCCCATGAGTTGTCAGTCCGCACCTGATAATAATACAAATCAGTGGCATCCTGTAAAGGTGCGGGGGATTCAGTCTGCACCGGGTGACACCAGCTGCACGGGGTGACACCGGACCCGCTCCACAAAAAGGTAAGTTGTAAAGCACGCCGACAATCCCCGCAGGATGGATCCGATCCATCCTGTGGGGATCGTCGGCTTTCTTTCCAACTTACCTTTTCTTGGAGCGGGTCTGGTGTCACCCTGTATAGGTTTCATGCCAACGATCCTGCAGGGACCATCGGGATGCAACCTATACGGGGTGACACCAGACCCGCTCCAAGGAAAGGTAAGTTGTAAAGAAAGCCGACGATCCCCGTAGAATGGATCGGATCTGAGGATTGAGCATAATGGATCAGAGTCCAATTCATTATTCTCAATCCGCGGATCCGATCCATTCTGCGGGGATCGTCGGAGGGGGTGTCACCAAGTGTTACCGCACCGGATGACACCAACCCTAGGGACGCCTCTGATACAAATAATTATGTGGGTTCTGACATTTGTGATGTAAATCTGCTAGTTTGGCAGTACAACATTTGTCCGTCAACTTTTTTCTGACATTTGTGATTTGTTTTTCCCTGCATCATACATTTTGGATGTTTAATTTAAATGCAGGTGCAAGCAACTCAAGAATCCCAATACGAGGTGAGAATTGTTATCACAGTAATCGTTATTTTTTGGTGTTTCAACTAGAAATATATACTGTATATATCAGATACCTTCACACTGAAGTATTTATGTGCCTAGTATCACTTTGCATGCCTAAGGGCCTTTTCACACTGGTCTGTTGAAAAACGCAGTAACAACGCTTATTGAGTTTTTTGATTTGTTTTTGGCGCATTTTCTGGTTGACTGACTCCCAGCATGCACCTGTAAAATATGGACATGTGACTCAAAAAGCAAACCAAAAATGGAACCGCAGTGGGGTTTTGATGCATTTTCCAGCAATTTCAATGTGAGGTGTGTTTTTGGTGCGCTTTTTAAACAGGGCACCAAAGATGCAGCATGCAGGACTTTTCAGAACGCAGCGCACTGATGTGAAGAGTTCCATCGGGTTTAACCGCCTCCCACGGAAATGAAGGACAGATAGAGGCTCCCTCATTCTGGGAGGACATCATATGATGTCCTCCCACTCTAGCTGCGCATGTGTGTCCCTGGGGACGCATGGCGATCAGCGGCGTATCAACAATCGTAGTAAAAGAGCCTTTGACACAGGCTCTATCATGTGATCAGCTGTGTCCAATCACAGCTGATCACATGTAAATAGGAAATGCCTACAGCGCGTGAGGAGAGGAGGGCTGGGCTGGTAAGAAGCAGTTCTCAGAGGGGACATCTACATTGATAATCAGGGCACTGATTATCAGTGCAACCCCATCAGTGCTGCCTTTCAGTGCCTATCAATGCCACATAGCAGTGACAATCAGTGCACATCAATGCCACACATAGTGCCCATCAGAGCTGCCTTTCAGTGCCAACTATCAGTGCCAGTCACTGCCACCTATCAGTGCCCATCAGTGTTGCCTAACAGTTCCAATCAGCGCTGCCTATCAGTGCCATATATAAGTGCTGTCTTTCAGGGCCCATCAGTGATACCTGTCAATGCCCATCAGTGCCACCTATCAGTGCCAAATATAAGTGCTGCCTTTCAGTGCCCATCAGTGATGCCTGTCAATGCCCATCAGTGCTGCCTATCAGTGCCTCCTCATCAGTGCCAGCTATCAGTGCCATATATAAGTGCTGTCTTTCAGGGTCCATCAGTGATACCTGTCAATGCCCATCAGTGCCACCTATCAGTGCCATATATAAGTGTTGCCTTTCAGTGCCCATCAGTGATGCCTGTCAGTGCCCATCATTGCCACCTAACAGTGCCACCTATCAGTGCCCATCAGTGCTGCCTTTCAGTGTCCATCAGTGCTGCCTCTCTCTGCCTGTGCCTCCTTTTCAGTGCCACCTATTAGTGCCATCTATCAGTGCAGCCCATCAGTACCCATCAGTGCAGCCTATCAGTGCCCATCACTGCAGCCTCATTAGCGCACATCAGTAAAGGAGAAAAATTACTGATTTACAAAATTTTATAACAGAAACTAAGAAAAACTTTTTTTTTCTTCAAAATTTTCAGTCTTTTTTAGTTTGTTTAGCAAACAATAAAAAACTCAGAGGTGATTAAATACCACCAAAAGAAAGCTCCATCTGTCTAAAAAAAAATTATATAAAAGTTTTATATGGGTACAGTGTTGCATGACCGCGCAATTGTTATTGGGGTCCAAAGTCGCATGTCAAGTCGCACCCCATGTTTCCCAATGAGTACCATTCAAATCTTTAAGTCGCAGCAACTTGAAAGTAGTTCCTGCACTACTTTGGTATGACTTTTAATGCGACTTTAGTCCAATGAATGTAAAGTCACACCACAGTTGCACTGGAAATCATGCAACTTTGAAGACGCACTAATGTGAATGGACCCTTCCTGCATATACAGACTGATTTTACTGTTGTGGGTTCAGCAACACTTTAAATACTAAGTGCTGTAGTAAGAGTTCAAATACCCTGTGCTAACAACATACTGGGGAGCCAGACTGTTCTCACACAGTGAGCAGTGGACCGGGTCTCCAGAGGTCCGACACCCCCCTGCACAGTGCTCCAGCCAACAGCAGTCACACTCCTCGAGCAGCACTGTTGACCTGAACACTACACAGGGCATGTTGGATTGCTGGAGGGCCAGGCCGCTGTTGTTGTGAGTGAAAGCAGAGGTTCGACTTTTCAAAATGCTGCTGGCACTTAGTAGTGATGGGCTGAACACCCTCCTGTTTGGTTGGCAGCTGAACATTCGAACGTACAGAATGTTCGACCGCGAACTTCGAACACAATTTACTGTGCGGTATCTTACCGTCTCTGAGTATGTGGTAAGATACCTCTCAGCTACTAAAATAGGAGTTATATCATTAAAGCAGGCCATACATGGGTCGAATTCCGAATGATTTTTCGATTGAAAATCAAAAACGTCATTCATTCTGTAATCTGATGGTGCCACCAATGATTTCAAAAATCGGTCATTTTTCACACATTTTCCAACTGCCCGATAAACGAAATGGGGAGGAACCATGAAAATTGGCCAGTGCCATTGTCCCACTAACAGAACGAAAATCGGTCGATTATTCTTAGGTCCGATTTTCGAACAAAAAAATCGTTCGGAAATAGACCCATGTATAGACCCTACTTAGGTCATGCGGTATTTTAGTAGTGAAACGTTCATTCATGTTTCAGTTGTCAGTGAGGTTCTACGCTGACAGCTGAATGTAAAAAGAATTGTCAGCATTGCCATCCACACCAAGCCCTTTGGGCCTGGTATGGATTTTAAGGGGAACCCCCACACTAAAATTTAAAATAAAATGGTGTGCCCCCCCCAAATCCATACCAGACCCTTATCCGAGCATGCAGCCCAGCAGGTCAGGAAAGCGGCGGGGACGAGCGAGCCCCCTCCCTCCTGAACCATACCAGACCATATGCCCTAATGGTGGGGGTGCTTTAGGGAGGGGGGGCATGTTGATGGGGACAAGGAACTCTTCCCCACAACCCTGGGCTGTGGTTGTGGGGGTCTGCAAGCAGGGGGCTTATTGGAATCTGGAAGTCCCCTTTAACAAGGGGGCGCCCCCCCCCCCGTGTAAATGAGTATGCAGTACATGGTACCACTACCCATTCACAAAAAAAAGTGTAGTCTAAAAAAAAAAAAAAAAAAAAGACAGTCTTTGCAAGTCCTTTATTAAAATATAAAAAGGAAAAAAAACGCCCCCGGAAGTACATCCAGCTTCAATCACGATGCCCACCGCAGTCACCCAAAAAAAGGAAAAAAACCTGCTCCGCTTGCAACACTGGCTCCCGGCCGTCTGACAGCTGTGCCCCAATGGCAGTTCTTAAATACTGTCATGATGTCACAAGGGGGCGGTGTTCACTGCACCCCTTTGTGATGTCATCCTGCACTGTGATTGGCCAAAACATTGCACCTGACTTGTGGTAAGGTAAATTGCTTTGAGCAATCACAATGCACTGTTAGGACGCAGTGCATTGTGGGGCGAACGCCTGTGCTGTTGTGTGTTAGGTTCAACTCAAACATGGAGCCCAACGCTAACACTTAGTATGTGAAAAAAAAAACTATATTGTTGACTGTTCATGTAGCCTGCCAACGCTTTATAGTGAACTTGGCATTTCCTGTGACAAGTATAGGAGCCGCTGTCAAACATTGACTACAAATATTTGCAGTGTCTCTACCAAAAATATGTGCCAATGAAATCAATCTTTTTTCTTTCAACAGCAATTAAGTCATAAGGACAGATCCATATACAGCACCCTTCCATCCAAGGCTGGGAATCCCTGATGGGGAAAACATGTTCAATGAATATCCTCTAAATTCTGACTCCAGGCATTTTTTTCATTTCAGTCACTGTGAAGCCCATACATGAAATGGGACCACAGAGGGCAATAATAACCTGATAGAAAATTAAAATGTTGTCTGGATTTGGATTTTACACTTCTGTCTAATGGTTGCATGTTGTACTATTTGGATCTACTTCTCTATATCAATAAATGACATATGGATGTGGTGTGTCTTAGTTGGGGAAAATGGAAGCTCAGTGACTGCACAGTTCGGGGGAAAAGGGTTTGAACTGCCATTTGTTCCTTTAGGAGAGAATAAAAACTTTTTATACCTGACCCCCATCCATGATCAGCTCTCTTTGCCTATTCTATCTTCTTCTTCTGATTCACAACTGGTTCCTCCTCTGTATCCTCTCCCAGTGGAACATGATCCATTGTCAGTCCTCTCTTCTCTCTACCACCTAGCAAAATTTAGTTCCACTCTACCTCATCGCTTCCTTGTCCATGATCACCGCTATCTCCTTCCCACCAGCCACAATCATAGTCAGCCTCACTCTACCTATTCTCCCAATGGTCCATGATCAGATCTTACTTTTCCTCTTCTATCCCCCGTCTATGAGCATATCCAGTGGTCTTCTATCGCTTTCCCATGTCCATGGTCATCTACTTTCTGACTTCTCTCTTTCTCACACTGCCTCTTTCTTCCCTGGTCAGCAACTTCTCTTCATGACTAGTGTAGAGTAGATGTCCATCCCACTTTTGACCACCGACTGCTTGACCATTTACCCTCCAACCCATCCTCATGACACTAATAAACCACACCAAGATTTTGGAGTAAAATGGCCATAGTAGCCTCTTCATAACAAAATTCAAATGTACATAACAGTACCATAATACCCTAACACAGATAATACCAGAGTTTGTTTTGTTTTTTGAGAGTATTTAGTCCTCATGCACACAAGATGTTTTTACAGCGGCTGTTTTTGGCTTTTGTTTTTTTTTTTCTACTCTCTGTGACCATCACTTGTTTATTATTGCTCTGTGACTTTAAGCTGTCTCCTTCTTTCTAAGCTGAGCTCTTTCTCTCACCGTACTTGTGTATACTCATCCGACCTGCCTCTCCCTGTAATCATTCCACTGTATCCTGAATGCATCTTTCCATGATGCTACAACATTAACGTTTTTCTACCTATGATATTCTCCATTAAACGGAACATTCAATGGGTTTCCTCATCTGGCTTTCTCAATATGTGAGTTTATTCATTGAGTTAAACTATCTGATCCGATGCAAGGGATAAATTCAACACCATATGGTATAGCTGTATACATCTTGGCAGATAAAGTTTATCGTCCTGTAGTTGAGTCAGAATAGTAATCAACGTTTTTTTGGCTGAAAAAAGCCCCTAGAACTAGTGGGTTTCTAGAGGAGTTTTTTAGCTGTAAAAATGCTCCAACGCTGAAAAAACGAGGTAAAACGCGGCAAACCAGCATTTTTAGATTCTTTTTACCCAAAAAACCCAGCTAAAAAACACAAAAAACGCGGAAAAAAAACGCCGCTAGACGCAAATTCAAAAATGCTGAAAAGCTTTACACAGCTAACGTTACCAGTGTTATTAAAACACCCAGTGTGCATGGAGCCTAAAACAGATAGCTTTACTGTGGGAACCGTCACCTATACTAGGCCCCCAACTGAAACACACCGGCTCAGAGACAATTCTCCCCATCCGCAGGGACCTCCATTTTTATTCTGAGTTAACCCATCTTTAAAAGGAATGCACCCGAGAACCTCATACCCCTGATGGGTCCCAAACCATTGTATTAGGCCTGAAATTTACCTCCTCCAAAGGCCAACAGCCACCAAGCTGCCATGACACTTGTAGAATCCAAACAAATAACAGGGGGGGAGGGAAGCATCTTCTTCATCCACTGGAGACCACTGACCTGCACAGCTCACATCCCCACCTGTACAATCAAGCAACACCCCGCCATGATGATCCCCCCACCAATCAGGTAAGCCAACTTCTTTAACCTCCCCGGCGGTATTCTCGAGTAAAGTTTCAGTACCACAAGCGGTAACCCAGAGCTACACTCGGGCTTACCATGCGGCGCCGCTCCAGGATCTGTTCTTCACTTACCTTGTCCTGCGCTCCCGCGATGTCCCTCCTGCAGTGTCCCCTGTAATGTCCTCCGGCGGATGCCGGCATCTGTCTTCTGGGTTCCGTCCCGGGACGGAGTGGCGGGAAAATTTGAAAATGACAAAAAGTGACATTCGCTAAATTCACTAAAATAACATAGTATAACATTACTGTATCAAACCATTTCACATACATTTTGTCCCGAGTGCTTTGTCCTGTCCCCTGCCTGCATTTTGTCTGTTCTTTCTGCCTGGAAACTGAGAAAAGTCCATGGCGTCCAAAAAGCGTCCCTTTAGGTCAAAATCGTTTTTAGACCAGCTAGAGAACAGCGATAGTAAATTAGAACTACTTGCAGAATTGAGTGATTTGTGGGGGAAATTCATCATCAGACACTGAAAACGTTTTTGCGACTTTGCTCTATAACTTTGAGCTAGATTTCAAAATTCAGTGTTTTTGGTTTGATTATATTAAATTAAATTTATTATTTTATTATTTTTTATGATTATTTATTAAATTATAACTTATGATTTCGTGTTTCAAATTTTAACAAAGCCGGGATGTTTACTAGACTCTTGTTCGGACAGATTTCAATGAGTTATTCCTAAAAATTACAGGCCTACAATAAAAAAATACATATTTCCATGCAAAAAATGTACCGCTTTGAGCACAGAAATATGTACATAATCAGACCGCTAGGGAGGTTAAACAATGCCCTGTTTGTTACCCCTTACCTCCTGTACTATCCCCTATACCCACTGTCATGTATGCCCTGCGCTTATGTTTTGTTTTTTGTTTTTTTGCTTCGGGCCTTACTTTCTCAACTTCTGCCAATGTTTTATAATTAGGCGTTGCCTCCTTATCCTCTATGCTCCCTTCCATCAACAGGTCACCTTCTGCCTCCTCTATGCCCCCTCCATCAACAGGTCACTTTCTGCCTCCTCTATGCCCCCTCCATCAACAGGTCACCTTCTGCCTCCTCTATGCCCCCTCCATCAACAGGTCGCCTTCTGCCTCCTCTATGCCCCCTCCATCAACAGGTCACCTTCTGCCTCCTCTATGCCCCCTCCATCAACAGGTCACCTTCTGCCTCCTCTATGCCCCCTCCATCAACAGGTCACCTTCTGCCTCCTCTATGCCCCCTCCATCAACAGGTCACCTTCTGCCTCCTCTATGCCCCCTCCATCAACAGGTCACCTTCTGCCTCCTCTATGCCCCCTTCCATCAACAGGTCACCTTGTGCCTCCTCTATGCCCCCTGGTATACAATAAATTGTCATCCTGCCTTTTTCACTCCCCTCTTACTGTTGATGTTCAGCCTCCATTCTGTCTCCTGTTTTATCCCTCATGGCCTGCGTTTTGTCCTCTCTACACATTTCTCTGTGTGTAACTTGACATTGACTTGGCAGCTAAACCCTCTTATTCTGCAATAAGCCAGAATGAGTGTAATCTTGAAGTTGTATTAACAAAACAGGGTGGGGGAAACTATTAGAAAAAACAACAGATGATAAATACATATAATGAATGGAAGAACATACAGAAAACACAATGATTAGTTAGGCTATATATGGCGATAAGCGATTCTCACCAGTGATGCTCCCATTAGGGGATGCGAAAGGTTGCAAGTTACAGTTCAACATTTGCTCCTATAGCTGGCTTCTTCTCTCCCAGTCTCTAAGATTGACTCTGAGCTCTCAAGATCACCTCTTTCCTTTCTCCCAGAATTATGGGTATTTTTATTAACTCTTAAAGTGTTACAAAACCCACAACAGTAGAATCAGTCTGTATATGCAGTAAAGCATGCTTGATATACTCACTGTGGAACCTTGTGAAAAAAGGATGTTTGATCCTAACTTCTGATTCTCCCCTTCTTCCAGTGTCTCCCTCTTATCTCCTGATAAGGCATATAGTGTGGAGACACTCTGCACATGCTCAGTTTGGTGTGTATTGCTAGAAAGGTTGTTTTTTTTTTCTTTGGAGAGTGCATGTGATCAGCACAGGGCCAATCAGCACTATCCAGACAGAGGTCAGGGGTTCTGCATCCTCCTACAGGAGAATGAAAACTCCTCTTACAAGCTTTAACCAGTGCTCGGCTGAACACTGATAGAAGTCACAAGACTGCTCTAACTGAGGATGAGAAAAGGAATTTTTAGCAGTTTATATGTACTAAAATAGTTGTATTTCCATGTTCTGTGTACTGTGGGAGACCAGATATAGTGAATGCAGGGTCCTGGGAGACCAGATATAGTAAATGCAGGGTCCTGGGAGACCAGATATAGTGAATGCAGGGTCCTGGGGAGACTAGATATAGTGAATGCAGGGTCCGGGGAGACCAGATATAGTGAATGCAGGGTCCTGGGAGACCAGATATAGTGAACGCAGGGTCCAGGGAGACCAGATATAGTGAATGCAGGGTCCTGGGAGACCAGCTATAGTGAATGCAGGGTCCTGGGAGACCAGCTATAGTGAATGCAGGGGCCGGGGTTTAGTATGGCTTGAACTGAACAGTCTCTAGTTTATGTAAAACAGTATATTACCAGCTCCATCTAGTGGTCAAATTTGATATTGCAGGCAAGGAGGAAGTAATCTATTCCCCTGCTGGAGGCAGAACAGTCTGTGCTCTGCTTCTGCACTGTCCGCCTATTCAGTACTTCTTCACTCCACTCCATGGTCAGCTTACACTCCCCCAATGATAACTTTAGTGTGAGGATATACTTAAAGCCCAACTCTAGGAAAATTAAAAAGCATCCCTTGCAGTGTGGGTGCAGTTTGTTTTGGTCTAGAGGGCATAGAAACAAAGTTCTAATTACCTAATCCTCTTCTTTACAATGCTGTACTGGTCCTCGCATTGTCTTCTACCCCACGTTTCAGTTGTCTATGTTCCTGACTTCATCGAGACCAATTCAGAGTCCATAGCCCTGCATGGATGCAATAATGCCAAGGGATAGTCCACTGCCAGAGCACAAGGACCATCTACCTGGAGAGCAGAGGACCGGGTAAATAAAGTGCTCTACCCTGGACTAAATGAGCCGTTAACCCTTGCATTTAGGGTTCACCTAAATGCTGTTATGTTACTGTTATAATGTTTTAATGTATTATTTTAGTATGCTTTTGTGCATTTGTTTACATATCATGATTTGTTTTCAGGTTTTCCCCTGGGATTTTTCAGAATGAAACAACTGGAATTACAAGATAAAATGTATCATATGTCACTGTATATTAAAGAGAACACACTCCCCCAATAAGATCGCTGTACCCATTTTCAGCTATCAGTACTTGCCAGTTTTGAATATCTGGAAGATATAAAAATCAACTGAAACATAAAACCCAAAGCACATTGGATTGTTTAGAAAAATAATTTCATAACAAATATAAAAAACAGGAATGCACTTACAAGAGTATCACGCTCATCATACTGTATATCCATATCGATGTACAGTGCAACTCCACCTTTAATTGACTGGCCTTAAGGAAGTTGGAGAGGTCGGAAAATGAAACAATGTGGAACTACAGGAAAGGGAAGGGATAAAAAAGGAGACTGATAGCAGGTAGATAGCAATGACTGGACATGGGTATGCAGTGGTACCTGCATGCACATGGACTTTTGCCCCTGGATGGGAAGCAGTCAGGGGCTCTCTTGCTGCTGCTGTGCTTCCAGGAAGAGTGCATACTTATGTTGTATGATCATTTTTATTTTGTAAAAATCTGTATTTTATTGATAATTGTAACAAGAACCAATTCCATATTGAGGTCATTGAATCGGATCCAGTTTAAAGAAATGACTGTAGTAGCTGAGCACAAGGTTGGAGCAAACATGATATAAAAAATTACACCTGTATGGAATCAGAATAAACAGTAAAGAGCAGATATAGAAAAGAGAGAGTATTGTCAATATTCATTATGTTTTTTGTTATTGTGACTGCTATTGTTCTATATATATATATATATATATACAGCATGGCCGAAAACCCTTGATATTTCTCCAGGAAATCATGTATTTCTCACGAAACGTATTGCAAATGTTTATTCCCTTTGTGTGTATTGGGACAAAACAAAAAAAGGGAGGAAAGAAAGCAAAATAATGTCACACAAACCTCCAAAAATGGGCTGGACAAAAGTATTGGCACCCTCACAACTGCGGATAAATAAGGATGCTCCTGTAAATCACCTGGGGCAAGTAACAGGTGTGGGCAATATAGAAATCACACCTGAAAGCAGATAAAAAGGAGAGACGTTCACAACCTTTGCATTGTGTGTCTGTCTGTGCCACACTAAGCATGGACAACAGACGAGAACTGTCTGAGGACCTGAGAACCAAAAAGAGAGTCCATCTCCAGAGTCAAGAAGTTTGCAACCCATGGCACTGTAGCTAATCTCCCTGGTCGTGGACGGATGAGGAAAATTGATGAAAGATTGCAACGCAGAATAGTCCGGATGGTGGGATAAGCAGCCCCAAACATGTTCCAAAGACATTCAAGCTGTCCTGCAGGCTCAGGGAGCATCAGTGTCAGCTGCGAACTATCCGTCGACATTTAAATGAAATTTGCTATGGCAGGAGACCCAGGAGGACCCCACTGCTGACACAAGGGACATAAAAAAGCAAGACTGTTTGCCAAAATGTACTGCCAAAAGCCTTCTGGGAAAACGTCTTGTGTGACAGATATTGAGCTTTTCGGTAAAGCACATCATTCTACTGTTTACCGAAAACGGAATGAGGCCTACAAAGAACTGTATACAGTATACGGTAAAATATGGTATATATTTGACAGTATGAACGGCAAACTGATGGATGGAAGGCATCATGAAATCTCACCTCGCATGAGGTCCTACTGTGAGTTGTAAGGTGGAGTCCACTCCGGGTTTTCGGGGCCACAATGGCAGAGGTGGTGCCGGACCGGAGTTTGTACAATGAGCCCACTGATGACCACCAACAGGTGGTATAAAGGAGGCAGGGCTGGAGCAAGGAGTTTGCTCGTGGCCTGGGACTCAGAGAGGTATTCTGAGAGAGCTGTGTGTATGGACTATACCTACAAGAAAAGGTTTGCTGTTACTTTGTTTTGGTGACAGGGAGAAGCCCTTCCCTCTGAGAGAGGAATCATCTGCTGTTTAGTTAGTGCCTGGATGGCAAGGGTTTATTTTGATGTTTTTTGTTTATTTTGATATTTCTTGCATAAACCTTTTTAATAAAACTGACATCCAGTCAGATTTTTTGACGAAAGCCTGCTGATGGATGGAAGATATGTGTGCGGTCTACCTTTGTCCCAGGGAAGGAGATCCCCACCTGAGCTAACCCCCCACATATACTATATACAAGAAAAGGTTTGCTGTTATGACAGGGAGAAGCCCTTATAGGAATATAGTTATATATGGCAAGGGTTTATTTTGATGTTTTGTTTATGCAAATTATACAGGAGATTTTGACGAAAGCCTGCTGTAGCGCCAAACGCTTGCGCAGCAAACCTGCGCAGCACAATCTACGGGAGACAATACATTTCAGTACAGAAGGAATATGAGGGCCCTGCTCGTGGAGCTTACAATCTAAATAAATAAAAAAGGTGTGTGTGTGTGTTATATCACCTTTTATATTACATTGGGCACAAAACCTCACTTCATGAAAAATGTGTGATTTTTCTTTTATGGTCTTTGATATATCCTCATTAAAAGTTCATTTCAGCTTTTAATGACAGCTGAGGGTAGAGAGTGTGTACCTATTGTTAGTTGAAGTTACCAATCTTTAAAGCGGAGCTCCAACCAATAGGGGAAGTTCCATTTTAAGTCTTTGTCCCCCACTCCCCGTTAAGGATTGGCTCCTTTGGGGAACGGGTACCCGAATTTGACAGGTACCCGCTCCCACTTCCGCTGCGATCGCCTAGGCAATCGAAAGTGGAAGTTGTCCTCCCACCTCCCTCCCCGTAGTCTTGTGGGATACGTGACAGGTCACAGAAGACTATGGGGCCATTCAGGAAGCGCAGCGCTTCTCACCCATGCCCAGTGGGCACCCGGTTGTGAAGTCACAAGCTTTCACAGCCGGGTGCCCACACACTAAAGATGCCGGCACCAGGAAGAGAAGACAGCCGGTGAAACCAGCGGTGGTGAGGACACCGCTGGACAGAGGGACAGGTAAGTGGCTGTATTTTAAAAGTCAGCAGGTACAGTTTTTTTCAGGTGGAACGCTGCTTTAATCTCCTTAGCGGTTTCCTTTTTCCCGAGTGCAGCTCGGGGTAAAATTTGAGTACCGAGAGCGGTAACCCCGAGCTACACTCGGGCTTACCATGCGGCGTTGCTCAAGGAGTCCCTGCAGCGCTTGCCTTGTCCTTCGCTCCCGCAATGTGTCCCCTGCAGCGTCCCCGGCCATCTCCTCCGGCCGATGCCGGCATCCGGCTTCTGTGTTCCGGTCCCTGTGACGTCGGGACGTACGGGCGCCGCCGGCGGTGGGAAATTTGAAATTTTTTAAAAATGTCATTTTTGTTGTCATTGCTGTTTCAATGCATTTCACATATATTTTGTCCCTAGTGCTTTGTCCTGCGCCCTGCCTGCATTTTGACTGTTCTTTCTGCCTGGAAACTTAGAAAAGTCCATGGCGTCCAAAAAGCGTCCCTTTACGTCAAAAGCAGTTTTAGAACAGCGATAGTAAATCAGAACCACTTGCAGAATTGAGTGATAATGATTCGTGGGGGAAATTCGTCAGACACTGAAAATGATTTTGCGACTTTGCTCAGTGATGTGCGAATTTGCCTCTGTATTTCAAATTTCAGTATTTTTGGTTTGATTATATTATTGAATTAAATTTATTATTATAATATTTTTTATGATTATTTATTAAATTATAATTTTATGATTTTGTGTTTCAAGTTTTATCATACCCGGGATGTTTAATAGACTCTTGTTCGGACAGATTTCAGTGAGTTATTCCTAAAAATTACAGCCTACAATAAAAAACTACATATTTCCATGCAAAAAAATGGTACCGCTTTCAGCACAAAAAAAAAATCGGAAAGAATCATACCGCCGAGGAGGTTAAGTGTCACGAATCTCTTGGTTTAAAAAAAATCTATTCCATTGTGTATCCTCAACTCAGAAATATTCCTTTTATTGTTCTTATCCTCCACTAAATCTCTAAATTTCATTTATTTTTTTGTTCCTACGATCTGACTTCTTGTTAGAGGGTGGCTTCATTTGTTCTCCATGGTCCCACTGTATGTAGGAATGTAGCCAACCTCTCTTGCTTGCTCCCAAGATGGACTCTGGAATTTTTTGTGTGCTTAGATCAGTGTACATGACTGCAACCAACATGCTTTGCACATTCTAAGCAACAGAAAGGGAGGTCTCGTGTTGCTCCAGAACCTCCAGCAAGGAGAACAGTGAGAAGTACAGTACAGACACCATGAATTTTCATTCCAAATTTCCTGAGACTAGTAGTCAGAGGCA